TGAATGAATTCCATGAGGCAGAGAACATATATATGTACATGTAAGGACAACAAAATGAATAAGATAACAAAAGGTGGAAAATAACAAAGGGTACAAGCTAATAAAGGAAGCCAACAGATGATTGGCACTGATAAGTGATTAGCAATAGACAATGGAAGCCAATTCGTAAGTTAAGTAATTGGTAATGGACACTGGGCAAATATTTGTAACTGTTACATTCTTTCTGTTGAGATTCGGTGGACGCTCATTGCATTGTATTTGGGCAGTGATTAGTCGTCAGGAATGCAGTGCCATTTAATCTAAGCAGTCATCAGGAAGTTACTATATTCAGATGCTAGTGTTGTGTGTACATTTCGGAAAAAGGCGAGACTGGTCCCGCATTGTATAGAACCTTAAAGCATCCGATTCGTCTGGAAAGTTCTGGAAGCTTGGTAGGTAGTATATAGTGGGACAACAGCGTGCCTGTCTCATCTCTCACACATTTCGTCTCACGCATGTTCATCGCTTTGGTTCTAGTTTTCGTGTGAGGATAGCTCATCATCCCTGATTCCCTGCCTAGCCCGTCTCCAATCTCATTAGATCAGACCTTAGTTCTCGCTACCGCTAAACAAAGATCTGAAGACATCCCAATAGGGGTCACGTCAGTACGACCTTTCATCCGACCAATCAGAGCGTCACTTACCAGATCATGAAAGTGACAGTCGGTATGTGATTTCTAATCATACAACCTCGAAAACATTAACACGGGATATTCCGAACGATAGTTACGGGTTTAACGACTGAATCCATACAATCTAGACCATCTTTTAGCCATTCCAGAATGTTCTTTTGTTCAGGTTTCAAATTTGTAATCGAGAATTTGTCATTAAGTTTCGAAGCGTAGTCGCCAATTTGAAATTAGTGCCGTAAAGCACGAGAGAGCTGCCTTCTGATTGGTCTGATTGGTCATTCCATTGGTCGGTCAAAGTTCGCGCAAGGTCGGTCTGACGTGACCCGTAATGGGATGTCCTCGGATCTTTGTTTAGCGGTAGCGAGAACTAAGATCTGATTTTAATGAGATTGAGCCCGTCTCCGAAGCTTGACCACTGTCGCGGCTGGGTGAATATGCATTATTATCGCTGACGTTTGCTATCACCACTGTATATTTGTATTTGGAACTGACCACAGCCATCATATAATAGGGGCGGTCGGGTAGCCTAGTGGTTAAAGCGTTAGCTCGTCACGCTGAAGACCCGGGTTCGATTCCCGACATGGGTACAATGTGTGACGCCCATTTCTGGTGTCCCCCGCCGTGATATTGCTGGAATATTGCTAAAAGCGGCGTAAAACCATACTCACTCACTCACTCATATTATATCTCGCCATTGAATTTTGTACTACAACTCTGTTGTGTACTGCCATTGTAATTGAAGTGCAGTAATTTGTGCTGATTAAAGTTAGGGAATTTTGTAATGCACATGTTGATTGTATACCATTTGTTGGTTGGTTTCACACTAGGTTCTGTTAAGTACAGATTTCTAGATTAACACATTGTTTCAATTTGGAAATCGACACGTAACAGAAATTGGGAGCTCACCCGGGAGCGAAATTTAATATATCACAAATAATTTGTAAAAAAAAGATTAACATTTTATGGTCGAATACTGTGCGACCCCAACAATCACTATGCAGTTTAGTTTAGAGGAACCTTCAGTGGAACAAGTCTCTGTGCTCAAAAGGTCTGAACTTGTCGAATTGGCCAAATATTACAAACTTGACATCAATTTTGGTACGCTTAAGGCCGATGTCAAGAAATGTTTTATAACTTACCAGGTTGACATTTTGGATGATGATGATGCTTTGGCCTTGCTTGAAGAAAAAACTGATGTTTTGGCTTCAAAGAAATCATAATTTGAAAGAGAAAAATTGAGAATACAGGCAGAAAAAGAGGAGAGAGAATTTCGGCTTAGAGAAATGGACGTAGAAGAAGAGAAAGAAAAAGAAGAGAGGGAATTTCGGATAAAGCTTTCAGAAACTAAAGGTGAAAAATAAAAACTGAGATTGGAAGCTGATAAAGAAAGTAAGCTGAGGCATATTGATTTACAGAATCCGTCTCTCTCTCTGTGCCTCAACAGGTGATGAATTGTTTGATCTTTCCAAGCAGAGAAGACTTGTTCCGCCCTTCTCTGAACATGATGTTGAGAAGTTGTTCCTACATTTTTAAAAGGTGGCTAGCAGTTTGAAATGGCCTCAAAACCAGTGGATCATGTTGTTGCAAAGTGTGTTTAGGGAAAGATTATTCTGCCTATTGTTAAGAGTTCTGATTATCAGGTTGTTACGGCTGAAGTTTTAAAGGCTTATGAATTGGTTTCTGAAGCCCAGAGGCGACTAACAGGATCGCGTGGTCAGGCTCGCTGACTTGGTTGATGCATATCATCGTATCCCAATTGCGTATATCGATGTCTATCATGGTGTCTATCACTGGATTGTCTGGTCAAGACTCCATTATTTACACACCGCCGTCATATAGCTGGAATATTGCTGAGTGCGGCGTTAAACAACGAACAATGCCGTTCATTTGTTGCTAGTCCATTCAGATCCCACGCTACTGTTGGCCATGGATGCCCTATCACACACAATACTTGCTCCCAGCCGACCAGTCCTTGTTTCCTCCCCTTAATGCCGAGCGGGGGGGGGGGGGGGGGGGCACGGGTGGCCCAGTCGTCCAAGGCGCCGCGATTCGCTGTGCAGAGTTGCGTCCCTTGAGCACGCCAGAAACCTATGATTGTGGGTTCGAATCACGGTTCGCCCCGATTATGTTTCTAGGTTTGTCAGTACCATACCCGTGCTCGTGGGTTTCACCGAAGCGGTTTACGTCTTAGACCTGCATCACTTCGGGCTTTCCTCCCACATTAAACTGACACGCCGTGATATAACTGGAATATTGTTAAAAGCGGCGTTGAACCAAACTTACTCACTCACTAATGCCGAGCGCCTTAATTATTGTTTTCTTTTTACGTCTATTGGTATGGCGCGGCTCTAGTCAAGCGACCACGGAGGTAGTCCCCAAAACATACTAACATCATTTTTTTAGATTTTGTAATAGAAATATTCACTTTAAGTGTGAGTATGGTTTTACGCCGCTTTTAGCAATATTCCAGCAATATCACGGCAGCGGACACCAGAAACGGGCTTCACACATTGTACCCATGCAGGGAATCGGACCCGGGTCTTCGGCGTGACGAGCGAACGCTTTAACCACTAGGCTACCCGACCGCCCCTTCGCTTTGAGAACAAGGGTATTAGAAAAGCTTTCTTCCAGGAATTAGGACAATATTATGCTTTCAGTGCATGTGCAGAGATCATTTGAATCAATGCTGCTTATAGCAACTGTCATCAAAAGCATATCCGAGTTTGAACCAGGCCTATCAGTGGTTTGGATCGATAACAGTAGCGTTAACCCATGAGTCGTATGTTTATGCACACTCAATACAGTGTAACTATCCGATCCAAGTTTAGCAAAATGATCAGCATGTATTGGGAACCTTGCCAGGTCTGTAAGCTACACATTACACTACCTTCAATAAATAACACGGCCTGCTTACTAACGTCCGGTATAAAATCGGTTCGATATTCGAGTGAGTGAGTGAGTGAGTTCGGTTTAACGCCGCTTTTAACATTATTCCAGTTATATCACGGCGTGTCAGTTTAATGTGGGAGGAAAGCTCGAAGTGATGCAGGTCTCAGACGTTTACCATTTCGGTGAAACCCTCGAGCACGGGTATGGTACTTACAAACCTAGAAACATAATCGGTGTGAACCGGGATTCGAACCCACAATCATAGGTTTCTGGCGTGTCCAGGGGACGCAACTCTGCACAGCGAATCGCGGCGCCTTAGACGACTTGGCCATCCGTGTCCCCCTCGATATTCGAAATAATAAATCGGAGACATTGAAATATGACATTAATGACAGAATTGATACACATGTGGTTGAAGATGTCACTGTGGACAATAAATTAATAATCGATCTGTATTAAACAAATCAATGCGATCGATTGTAGGTTTTCTAGCTGATTAAACAATATTGATGTTTTAATGTGCCTTTAGATAACTAATCTGAGGCCATAGAAACAAAGTGCGGTTACATGTAGGTTATTTATTTTTCAGAAAATGTCAACATACATGTGTGAAAAAAAGTATGATGAACAACGGAAAGACATTTGAAGGTTCCAAAACATTTTAGTCACGCTTTCGGTCAATATCGAACGAATATGAATGTGTTTACCGAACATAACATCAAACGTTGGAATTTGTACAGGCTAAATACTGCACTAAATCGATACAAGGAGTGATGAATGTAACTTCCCGATATTGTTTCGCCGCTCGCCTCAAATCTATCCCCGGTAAAAGTAAAGAGTCTGATAGGACGGGGTGTAGTCCTGCACTATGACCGTGGAATATATTTATTTTATGAAAAAATAATAAATTAAATCTAGAAATGCATACAAAAGCAAGTCTAGCCAGCTCAAGCTAGCTCTATTCCACATTCTGAAATCAGCATAGGGAAAAAAATAATTTTTAGAGTCAAGAAGGATATTGTGTAATATAAGATTTCAGAGACTAAATGTTAGTCTAGACGGGGTGCAGAATACCCATTTGACGATATCATCAACAACATGATAGGAGTCATAAAAAAACGTAAGGGATTGACTGAAGTTGACACGTAAGGTATCTGAAGAAAGGGCATCCCGTGTAATTTGAAATGATTTGCAACATTCCACGTGTTACGTCAGTGCATCTATACCTTTCCATGCCATAGATCTTCAGCAACCCATGCTTGCCGTAAAAGGCGACTATGCTTGTCGTAAAAGGCGACTAACGGGATCGGGTGGTCAGGCTCGCTGACTTGGTTGATGCATGTCATCGATCCGACTTGCATGGATCGATGCTCATGATATTAATCACTGGATTGTCTGGTACAGACTCCATAATTTACAGACCGCCGTCATATAGCTGGAATATTGCTGAGTGCGGCGTAAAACAACCAACCAACCACTGGTTTTTCTGGTCAAGACTCGATCATTTTTAGACCGCCGTCATATAGCTCGAATTTTGCTGCGTAAAACAACAAATCAAACCAACCATTCGATACGAATTCGTATCACACGTGTCTTGCTTTTGAAGACCGTTTCATATACTTTGATCCCGAAGACTGTTTTAACCTTTATTTGGATTGGTTGGTTGGTCGATCCACGCACTTAGGATCGATGACATGCTTCAACCAAGTCAGCGAGCCTGACCACCCGATCCCGTTAGTCGCCTTTTACGACGAGCTTAGTCGCCTTTTTTCAGAAGTCAGGAAGGCCATATAGCTCACAGGACGAAACGCAATATTGTGCATCTTTTCATTTAACCGAACAGTCAAGTGGCAATTAAGCGATTTAGATGCTAAACATGACATGATATTCTCTGTAATCTCCTTGCCAATTAAATATACATAATAACTGGAATACATATAATAATCTTTCTTAGTTTTCGTTACATGTATACATGCATATCAAAATATACGCCACGAATATTATTTCTGTATCATCTTAAGCACATTAAGTGTTATAAAGTGGCGCGGCTAATAATTTCCAGGTCGGAATGGGTCTGAACCACTGGAAGAAGACGGGTTTCCTCATTTGGGTTTGGCGCAAAAGTATCGATTTTCATTCGTGCAACGCATATCAGAAAATGACGCTAATAGGTACGAGAGGCAAAATTCATTTGTCAGATCCCCCCCGGGTTCCCCTGGATTCCAAACCGGGTTAACTATTTCCGTGCCATCTACCCAGTGGTACTTCAAGAGTCCATCCCCGGGGTTCAGGTCAGACCCTCCGATCCACAGATGGTCGCTGTTGAGGTCTGAAACAGCAAAATTGTCGAATAAGGTTCTAGTCTGTCAGCTTAACGCATGGATGACATTTTCTTTGAACGATAACACAACTCCAAATAGAGGGAAAGGAACGTGTCTTTTTAACAGCAGTGTATCAACATTATACATATGAAAGTGAAAGAAATCATCGTTAATCTTGGTAGACGGGAAACCAATTCCATCGGTTGCACCACTCAGTCTACAACTCCGCCAGACTGCAATTCCGCCAAGACCCACACACACACACAGACACAGACACATACACCCCAACCACTGCTGTTTTACAAACTCCTACGTAGGACTTAGTATCTCCTACGTAGGACTTACTATCTCCTACGTAGGAGATACTTAGACAAAAAAAAAATCACCTTTACCCTACTACGCTTCCATACAATCCTAAGGCCGTACGACATCGCGTGCTGAAATCAGTACTCGATATGCAGTTAAAAACACGACAGCTTACAATCTTTTGCCTGTTCTAACACAATTTGTGAGTGACGATTTTTTATACCGATGTACACAATCGTCGAATGTAATATCTAAACATGAATGTATTGGTGGAAAATAATTAATATGCCTGAATCACGTTTGGTTAAGAAATGCTATAACTTATTATTGTTAGACTGTAGTAATGGTAAAACTAACTGGACATCAAAAGTAAAACACATCCTATTCTCTACTGGTTTTAGTTACATAAGGGAACAACAATTTATAAGTAAAATCTCCAGCTTTCTGTCGGAATGTATACTCCGTCTTGAATTATCTTATGAACAAAATTGGCAAGCAGCTCTTTCATCAAGCTCAAAATCAACTCTTTACAGTTCATTCAAAACAAATTTCGGCTAAGAAACATATTTAAAAGAATTTTCAATTTTTAAATATAGACGTGCCCTTGCGCAATTTAGATGCTGTTCCCACCAGCTCCGAATTGAGACTGGGAGGTATAAAATGTGAAAGGTTGTGTCCGGCTTGCAATCAAAATCATATTGAAGATGAATTTCATTTTATAATAATTTGTGATCGATATGTACATTTAAGACGAAAATATATACCAAAAAAAGGTTTACCTGTACCCCTCCATACATACTTTTGATATTTTAATCGCATCAAATAATGTATTAATCATTCAAAATCTATCCGTATCCATTTACAAAGCAATAAATCTACGTCTTGTGTAAATCTCCTAGAATTTACCTTTTTATTATAATGTTTCTCTCTCACTGTATACTCGGTATTGTATAATGGGCCAGTGGCCTACAATACTTAATTAATTAAGACTATATAAACATGAATGGTTACGAAACTACCTTTCTTAATACCATGCGTACCTGTTCTTTAAAGTCCATGTGAAAGAGCTGTATTTTGTATTTAATTGTAAACGAGGGCTGGTCAAACAGTTCTGAGCCTAACAAACAAAACCAACATTTTTTAAAGTGTTTTTAATTATATTTTTCAACATAATCTCCCTGCTTTTCAATACACTTCTCATATCGATAGTGAAGCTTTTCATTTCCAGTCAGGAAGAAGTTTTCTGAAGCCACCCTGAAAAAGGTGTGAGAAGAGACATTGTCATGAAGTAGTAGAACTCCAGTAGTCAGCATTCCTCGTCGCTTTTCTTTGATAGAATCCCTCAGGTGATGACGCAAATCAACATAGTAGGCACCGGTAATCGTCTTTTCACTTTCTACGTGATCAACACGGATCACACCCTTTGGACCCCAGAATACAGTGGTCATAACATTCTTCACGGGTCTTGAAGACTGGAATTTCTTTGGTGCCGGAGAAGTGTAATGGTGCCATTCTATGGATTGACGTTTTCAGTGGTAGACCTATGTTTCACCACCCGTTACTATTCTCTTTTTGAATTTTACGAAATCCTGCTCCTTTAGCTCTACATTTTCTCTGGCAATGTCAGTTTTGTTTTCCTTAAGATCAGAATTTAGAAACTTTGGCACTCAATGTAAATGTAAATGTTCATGAGTAATAGTTTCAATGAATCAATGGCTTAGACCTAAGTCTTCCTCAAGTTCAGCAACGGTAATACGTTTTTTCTATCTCCTTGAATGAATTTTCATTGACGGAAGTTGAGGGACGTCCAGACCTAGGGTCGTCATCAAGGCTTGTTCCCCGAGCCTTAAACGTTTAACAGTGGAATACCTAAGGTACTTATCCCCAAACACATGTGACAAGCGGTCATAAAAAAATCTTGGGGAGTACTTTTCTCTAAAGTCAAAAACTTGATGCCTGCTCGGTACTCGTTCTTTTCCGGTTGGACCCCAATCACGTTCAATGGCTGCCATTAATGAACAAACGGCCTCAACCGACCACATACACTTGCAATGAACTACTCAAGCAATGTACGAGATTAACAAATACATATTTTTATGGCCCACATTTGAAAGATAGTCAGTCTCAAAATTCTTTTTACCAGTCCTCTTCGACAAGATATCATGGATAAACACGTTAAAGCAATGCCCCCCCCTCAACGACCAAAACATGAATCAATTCGCGGAAAGAATCTCCAGTCAAAAGAGACTCATGGGATAGGTGACGTCACGTTGAATAGTGACGTCATCTGGTTTGTTCTTTGACGTTTCCATATTTGTAAAAGTGGTTTAGTGACATTCGTGTTGATTGCAGTAAATGATTCAAAAACCGATATTGTTGTTTCTTTTTATTTGATAACGAATTCCATCCATATTAGCTATAATGACGGTAACGCTCTTTGAAAACAGCGTTACCCTTATAATAACACATTGTTATTAAACCTCAATTCATGATATAAACATATCATGGGAAACACCTGATCAAATACTTGTCCCTTATTTCAAATCTACCCTGTGGCATGATCTGAATGTTTATAAATCTGAAAGAAAATTTAATTTAACATAGAAGTAAACTTACATCTGTTTGCATCCATGATTCGCGCGATTGCCTCTCGATGTATAGTGTCTTTTAGCATCATAAGCCTCGACCCTGTACTGAGTTCTTGGCAGGCGGTCTCCGAGTCGTTCCACGCCCTCTTGTCTTGTGATCCATAGTAGCAGAGCTCAGATTCACGGTCAAAGAAAAACCCTTTCTTGGCTGGGCACCAATCTAACATTGAAATGAACATCAATTTACTTTCCAGGGCAAGTACATGTGCAGTTACTTGAAATAGACAACACTTATAACTGTTTGTTTCCAAGCCAATAACAATGACAAAATCATGTTTCCTGAAATATCATCTCATCTGAAAGGAACTACAAACCGTTCATAGTTGGGAATTATTTTCGTTATAAATTATTTTTAAAAGTGTTCTTACTTCACCTATATACCAATAAGCCAAAGAACAAACAGCAAAAACAGCAAAAATAATGTTTTACATTTTAAGTAAGTTAATGTTTCATACCACTTGCCTCTATCAATTTATCATTAAGCTATCATTTTTTCCCACCGTTACAAGAAATTAAATAGACGTATAAATATCAAATCTTGTCATTTAAGTCCATTCATTTCTCAGGTTGGTTAGTTGATTGGTTGTTTAACGCCGCATTAAGCAATATTTCAGCTATATGACGGCGGTCTGTAAAAACCGAGTCCGGACCAGACAATCCAGTGATTAATATCATGAGCATCGATCCAGGCAACATGCATCAACCAAGTCAGCGAGCCTGACCACCCGATCCCGTTAGTCGCCTCTTACGACAAGCGTAGTCGCCTTTAACGGCAAGCATTGATTGCTGAAGACCTATTCTACCCCGGATCTTCACGGGTCTCATAGCTTAGGTTATTGATACATGTCATACAGGATCCGTGAAGATTTCGGGGTAGAATAGGTCTTCAGCAACCAATGCTTGCCGTAAAAGGTGACTATGCATGTCGTAAAGGGCGACTAACGGGATCGGGTGGTCTGGCTCGCTGACTTGGTTGATGCATGTCATCAATTCCAATTGCGTGGATCGATGCTCATGATATCAATCACTGGATTGTCTGGTCCAGACTCGATTATTTACAGACCGCCGTCATATAGCTGGAATATTGCTGAGTGCGGCGTTAAACAACAAACCAACCAACCAACCAACCAACCAACATAGTCAAATAAATGCCATGCACAATAATGAATGATATATATCAAAATTTAAATAACGATATCTACATTGTTATGGACAATTTAAATTGTTGAATGTCTCTTGCAGACCCACCGACATAACTCTGTCACCTTAATATAATCATGATCAATTATGAATCAATGAGTTACTATAACCTCGCCAGAAAGCCAGACATCACCTTCTCAAATTCAAGACCTTACTTAAGGCCAAAGTACATTTTGTCAAAACATTGTTATCTTTCCATGAGCACATTCTCGGTAAAAAAATTACATTTATGTATTTCTACAAGATCGAACTCTTAACTAACGTTAAGATGAAACATCATGCATGTTCATTGATCATTATACAAAACACATGAGAGAAACAAATTGTGTACTGATTCACGTAATGTGTGACCACTAAAAACTTATCTAATTAATGTGATTTCCTGTACAATGCAATGCATTAAAAACACCGCAACGGGATCGGGTGGTCAGGCTCGCTGACTTGGTTAATGCATGTCATCGATCCCAATTGCGTGGATCGATGCTCATGATATTAGTCACGGGATTGTACGATCAAGACTCGATTATTTACAGACAGCCGTCATATAGCAGGAATATTGCTGAGTGCGACGTTAAACAAGAAACCAACGAACCATTGGGAACAAATCAGTATGCATTCATATGTCGTGTGTCATGATTAATCTATATTCGGGGTGAGTGATTTTGGGTTTAGGCGCTTTTGGCAGGCAATATGCTAGCCGTATCACGGGAATCGAACCTCGGTCTTCGACATGACTGATCAACGCTTAATCACAGCCCGTGAGGATCCGGGGTAGATTAGGTCTTCAGCAACCCAAGCCGTAGAAGGCGACTATGCTTGTCGCAAGAGGCGACTAACGGGATCGTGTGGTCAGGCTCGCTGACTTGGTTGATGCATGTCATCGTATCCCGATTGCGTGGATGCTCATGTTGTCAATCACTGGATTGTCTGGTCCAGACTCGATTATTTACAGACCGCCGTCATATAGATGGAATATTGCTGTGCGGCGTTAAGCAACAAACAAACACTAGGCTTCCCCATCGCCTAATAGTTATATTCTATTTGCATCCGTTCCTGATGCCCTATGTTGCGTCATTTAAAATTAATGAAAATTAATGAAAATTAATCCAAAAATAAACTTTACTTTATGTTGTTGGTCTCGTGGTCTCATTTTTTTAATAACAAATGGTTATCAGAAACTGATCTAAGCTTTGCTTCAAATATGATTGAATTCCTTTACAGATGCCACCTACCCGTGGAGACTGCGTAGTATCGCTGCCCGGGAGATGGTGATGAAGAAAGAGCAATAAAGTCGTATATGAACGCCGGGGCGGGAAAGAGGGAGCAAGACAAACTCAGCTCGTTAAAGGCAAACATTGAACACCTAACGAGCGACATGCACTCCCTGGCGCATTCCATGTCATCTCTCAAGGATGTAAAGGTTTGCAATGGATTAATTGGCTTTGTTATTTTCAAGTCATTGTATTGGGCCAAGCCTGTGAATTGCAGCTGTTCACTGCAATGTCCTCTCGATTGCCTGGGATAGAAACGTAAAGGTATATCAGATTATGACAATAAGAGTGAGTGAGTGAGTTAACATGTAACGTCGTATCGGCATTTTTTCAGCCATATAGCGACGAGACCAAGTTAATATATTCACAATTTAGTCAATTATGCAAAGTCATATTTGCAATTTATTAAACATATTTGACCATAACAGTATCATGTATACAGTTTTAAAACACGGGCTGCAGGCCACCAGTTACCAAAGCTAAGCAACCCGTGAAGATCCGGGGTAGAATAGGTCTTCAGCAACCCATGCTTGCCGTGAAAGGCGACTATGCTTGTCGTAAAAGGCGACTAACAGGATCGGGTGGTCAGGCTCGCTGACTTGGTTGATGCATGTCATCGATCCCAATTGCGTGGATCGATGCTCATTGTGTCAATCACTGGATTGTCTGGTCCAGACTCTATTATTTACCGACCGCCGTCATATAACTGGAATATTGCTTAGTGCGGCGCTAAACAACAAACAAAAACAAACAAACCAAAGCTAGGCCACTTCGCTGAGTACGTTTTAATGTCGTAATACTAAGGGAGCAATAACTTGATGACTTGGTTTGAGATCAGTATATTTTGTTCAATGTTTAGGAGCTCAATTACTTCTATCCTAAATAAACACTATTTATCAATTATATATGTATATTCATAAATGAGAATGAAGAACTGTAGTCTTTGGACACTTTTCTACAAGAAAAGGTCACATTAGTTTTTTCCTACAATTCAAGGGGCACAGGTGGCACAGTCGTCAAAGGCGCCGCAATTCGCTGTACAGCACGCCAGAAACCTATGATTGTGGGTTCGAATCCCGGTTCCCGATTATGTTTCTAGGTTTGTCAGCACCATACCCGTGCTCCTGGGTTTCACCGAAGTGGTAAACGTCTAATACCTGCTTCACGTCGGGCTTTCCTCCTACATTAAGCTGACACATCGTGATATAACTGCAATACTGTTAAAAGCGTTAAAAACTCATTCACACAGTCGCTCCTACAATGCAAGGCATATGTAAAAAAAAAACCATTCAGTAAAACACGGGCTTCATTTCTTTTCATGACACAAATTGTAAGATCTGTATGTATGTTTTATTTGCATGGAGATATATGATTATTATGATATATTATGATATGTGATCCATTATTTTCATTGACGTAACCGGAAGAGAGTCAAAACCTATTCCGTTTGAATCAGCATGATTACAAGGGTAGTGTTTTATGCATCTATTGACAATATGTCGGCCATGTGATGGCAGCGGAGAGCAGAAATGATATTCTTATATTCACTACAACTCGATCCCTTGATATTTATTGATACATGCAGCAATGGGACTGTTTTGTGCTGATTCAAACTTAAATTTGTCTTGTTAACAGCGGTACCGGCTGATAGAGGCGATTAGATGACTTTTGATCCAATAGTTAAATCCATGTATGTTTTATATAGATATATTTGGCATTACCATGTCAGGAAATTTATACTCGCTACGCAGTTCAACGGACACGTAACGCCAGCAGATTATTAATATGAAGTTGAAAATCCATTAATCATTTAATCATCTAATTCTTAGAATCGGAAGGCGTGTTAAATCAATAATGATTTTACATATCAAGAATTGTTCAGATCAATATATACGAAGCAGCTGAAAGGACGCACCACAATTGTAGAAACGTGATATATTAACTGGTGCTGTCGTTCAGTGCATTCACCAAAAGCAACAAAAAGCAACAAAACCTGACGTTTAACCGTTATCACCTCGAAGACACCAGCAGTAATTAACATTAAACATATTTTTGTGCTCTTTAATAATCTTCATGCAGGGTTTAATGGTTTTTTAAACATTTTGTCACAGCATTTAGATGAAACACTACGACCTGAAGATAGGTAAATTGTGGCATGTGGAAAGACAATTTGCTTCCGTTTTGTTCTCGATCACGTTGTGTAGAACTCCGACTTAAAGAAACAATCAGATGTATCAGGAAGGGTTACATAAACGAGTGTTGGATGTGCTATACAAGAACACAAGATTGTAAAAGATTGGGCTGAAACGGGACACATTATGAAAATGGTGATGAGTTTAGGTCTCCACGCTTGTAGCAGGTCAAGAAAAACGCCTGTCTGTTTTCGGCCGACCATTTTACATCCTGGGGTCGGTAGCTCGGATTGTTCTTAAAAAAACAATTGCTTTCAGACAATGCTAAAGGAGAAACATCTGGTCACAGGTGATACAAAATGAAATTGCCGTGAAAAAATGCGTGGAAGTAAACTATTCGGCTTCTTCCAGAAAAGTGCATGTCTCGAAGCGCGCACAGACACATCAAAATATTTAATAGTGATAACGTGATACATGTATGTACCTTCATACATACATAATTACGTCGTATTTTGCTGGTTCTCAAATATAACCAAAATCACATAACATTTGCTGTAACTTCGCTTTAGACATGATCCTAATTGTTTTAGCTTCTGGGCAGAAATGTTATTTAGCTTAAATACACATAGAACACCTCATAAATATTTGATATTGATTATTACCAAAGACAAGACTTTAAATTTAAAGTTTCGGTCTCCCAGTTTCACGCAAAAACAAATGGACTTACCGGATGAGTAGCACCGCAAAGACAAAACTAGCAACAGCAACCTGCCTTACAGTTTCGATCAGCAACATCCTCCAAGATGATTTCAGTCCAGACTTACTGTTGTCATTCGAGGTCAGAAATGCAAATGACAACCTCAACAGGTGTATTTCATTTGAGGTCTTGAATATTTTCACTGATGGCTGGTCCTCATATAACGACAATACACTCAGGAATAATGATCATGTCAACAGCGTCTCGTTTAATGTTGAGCCCAATATTGATTACCAATACATATTGACCGGCATGCACGGCGAGACCCATTTCTGTTGGCTGAATCTCATTTATTCAATGGACAATCAATATGTCCATCAATTATCTCCATGAAGGTTAATTCTCAACAATGCTGCATCGTATTGATTGGAGATGGTAGAATGCGTCGAAATAGTGAAATAAATCGGAATTAATGACAACAGAGACAAAAAATGACTACAAGCAACTGTACCGAACCATACCAGTAATCAATGTCGAAATATATTTATTTGATCGTGTGTTCAGATCGAACATATTCTGACATTTACGATCAACTTGACTTAATTTATTGGTTCATGATTTACAAACTACAGGCACACACATACTTGTCTGTTTTTTCATCATCGAGATATTTTAGTTTGATTAGAAGCTCTTGTCATGGTGACATAAGATCTTTTGGCTAGGCAAGAGGTGAAAGATTATCATGTTGCTAAATCTTTAAGCAGCACTCCGTTTTGATATTGATTAATTTATCATTTGTGATGACATCCTAGAATAGCTTCAATTATTATTGACATGATAGAGATTACGTGATTTCACCTATGAAACCTATGAACACGCATGCATTGCAGCAAAACACTTAGTAAATACGTGCTGAATAGGACATGCCACGGACTATGGTAACTAAAAAAGTAAAAACCACAACGTAATTTACATAGCTATTACACAATCACATTGCAATAAACATGGCATTTCACAAACCCATAATAAAATTAAAATGGAAAACGTTGCATTTTTTCAATCTGGACCAAGGTTTATTACCCCTATTTGTAGACCCGTGAAGATCCGGGGTAGAATAGGTCTTCAGCAACCCATGCTTGCCGTAAAAGCCGACTATGCTTGTTGTAAGAGGCGACTAACGGGATCGGGTGGTCAGGCTCGCCGACTTGGTTGATGCATGTCATCGACCCCAATTGCGTGGATCGATGCTCATGATATTAATCACTGGATTGTCTGGTCCATACTCGATTATTTACAAACCGCCGTCACATAGCTGGCAAATTGCTGAGTGCGGCGTTAAACAACAAACCAAGTACCCCTATTTGTGTACACATGTACGTGGATATTGCAATGTTCAGTTTGACGACATTTCACAGACATTTGTCAATGTCAAACTGCACTCTGTGTGAGTGCGTGCGTGGAGTGTTCTGATTTTGGTTTGTTGTTTAACGCCGCACTCAGCAATATTCCAGCTATATGACGGCGGTTTTGAAAACAATCGAGTCTGGACCATACAATCCAGTGATTGATATCATGAGCATCGATCCATGCAATTGGGATCAATGACATGCATCAACCAAGTCAGCGAGCCTGAGCACCCGATCCCGTTAGTCGCCTCTTACGACAAGCATAGTCGCCTTTTCCGGCAAGCATGGGTTGCTGAAGACCTATTCTACCCCGGATCTTCACGGGTCGTCAATCTGTCAATCTGAGAACCAATTCTGATTCATATACATAAAGAAATAGACCAGTAAGGAGGGGAGCACAATTGGTGCCACGGGGATGCCTACTTCTTTCCTAAATGTCCTGACCCGTGAAGATTCGGGTGTAGAATAGGTCTTCATCAACACCATGCTTGCCGTAAAAGGCGACTATGCTTGTCGTAAAAGGCGACTAACGGGATCGGGTGGTCAGGATGGCTGACTTGGTTGATGCATGTCATCGATCCCATTTGCGTGGATCGATGGTCATGATATCAATCACCAGATTGTCTGGTCCAGACTCAATTATTTACAGACCGCCGTCATATAGCTGGAATATTGCTGAGTGCGGCGTTAAACAACCAACCAATCAACCAACATAAATGTCCTATCCCCAGACTTCACATTTTCTATGAGGAAATTCAACGTTTCACATATTATTTTCTCAGTAATCTTCAGATGAAATTTGTTTTCATTTTTGACAATTTGTCCCATACCTTTGAGAATAGCGGTGTAACTATATCTATGATTCTATTAGCTTTTCCTCGCGTTTTTCGTGTGGGATATCGGTGTAGAAAGTTGATAAATAAAACGTTTTGACAGAATTGAACTCTTTACCTAGATTATGGTCTCATAAGCTAAATGTATTGAAATGTGTTTTGTTCAAAGAAAAAGTTAAAGTATTGAATTCTGCCTGGTTTTGAAGTTATTGGTACTAATATCTTTATGACTTCTTTGATAGGCATTTAGAAGTTAGAGTACAAAGTAAGGATAAGAATGTATGGATGAACAACTTCTTTATTACAACTAAGAGTGACGTTTCGGTGTCGGGTCTAACACCGTTATCAAGCAAGTGATATACAGAGTTACTTACTTATATTGGAGATTGTACGTGCGCTTTCCGACTGCAAGCGTATGTTGCACACGGGCCCGTGGTGGTGCAACCTAGGAGGGGGGTTTAAGGGTTGCTTATATAGTAATTTTGAGATTTTGAGATTTTGAATGAATGCCAAGAGTGGGTAGGGGGCGAACTAAGGGAGCTGTGTGTGGTGGGTGGTTTGCCAGTTTATGATTTTGGTTTTATTAGTTTATGCGACTAATTAGTCCTGTTTTAATTAAGTGTATGCCTAAGGCTTGGAATTTTTCAATTTATTTTGTGGATTTAGGATTGATTCTAGAGTAAGTGTAGTATTAAGATTTAGGGTGGTTTGTAGTGTTGTTCGGTAGTGTGTGCAGTGAATGAGTACATGTTCTGGTGTTTCTTGTTTTTTGCAGTGTGGGCAGGTTTCTGTTGCGTGTAGTTTATATTAGCTATTTTACAGTGATTATTTACTTTGGTGTGTCCTGTTTGTAGTTTAGTGATTATTCTTTCGATTTTTTTGGATGGGTGGAGTATTATTGGTTTAGTTAGGTTTTTTTAAGAACTTTTCTGATTTGGCTATTTGAGTTTAGGTATATATTTTTTAGAAGTTAGAGTACTAAGTAAGGCTATGAATGTATGGATGAACAACTTCTTTATTACAATTAAGAGCGACGTTTCGGTGTAGGTTCTAAACATTGTTATCAAGCAAGTGATATACAGAGTGTGGTTGACAAGTATATATACAGGTAGGGGGCAATGTTAATACTGTAGAGTAGATATCAGATGAAGTTATACTGGACATCAGAGAAAACTACAAGAAGCGATCAACATCAAAAGACTCCAACAGTCAATCAACCGTGACCTAGGCTACTACCAATCAGTCATAATCCTGTTGTTTATGTAACGGGCTTCATTCTTTGTTTATGTCACTGACTCAATAGATGAGTGAGTGAGTGAGTGAGTTGGGTTTAACGCCGCTTTTAACATTATTTCAGTTATATCACGGCGTGTCAGCTTAATGTGGGAGGAAAGCCCGAAGTGATGCAAGTCTCAGACGTTTACCACTTCGGTGAAACCCACGAGCACGGGTATGGTGCTGACAAACCTAGAAACATAATCGGGGTGAACCGGTATTCGAACCCACAATCATAGATTTCTGGCGTGCCTAAGGGACGCAACTCTGCACAGCGAATCGCGGCGCCTTAGACGACTGGGCCACCCACGCCTCCCCGACTCAATAGATGATTGTCGTTACCCTTGTGTTTACATAACAGGCTTCTCCACACCAGGAGAAACATTGCCTCCTACCAGTATGATTATATACTTGTCAACCATACTCTGTATATCACTTGCTTGATAACGGTGTTAGAACCTTGACCGAAACGTCGCTTTTAATTGTAATAAAGAAGTTGTTCATCCATGAATTCTTATCCTCACCTAATATCTTCATGACTCTGTAATAATAAATAACAAATAATATATTATGGAGTATTTGTTATCTTTTGAAACGCCAGCTTAATGTGGGAGGAAAGCTCGAAGTGATGCAGGTCTCAGACGTTTATCACTCCGGTGACACCCACCAGCACGGGCATGGTGCTGACAAACCTAGAAACATAACCGGTGCGAACCGGGATTCGAACCCACAATCACATGTTTTCAAGGGACGCAACTCTGCACACTGAATCGCGGCGCCTTAGACGAGTGGGCCACCGGTGCCCCCCTCTAGGATAACTGAATGCTCATATAAACAGGGTGGTCGTCAACTGTTACATCTAGATATATCTCTTCTTTCTACCATTGGCATACTTACCTATAGCGAGCCTTCCCATCATCAACTGTATTCCTCTCCTTTCTACCAATGACACACCTACCCATAGTTGCACAAGTAGCTTATCGACATGTTCATCTGAAATAATTTATATTGTGTCTTCGGTACACTTATTAACTTAGTATAGAATTCATTGTCTTTTAGTGGCGTTCATTTCCAAGTATGTGTATCATTTAAAGAAGAATCAGATTTCTAGACGTTTTTTTGACAAACTGTTTCAGACATAAAGGGTTAAGCTGACTAAGTGTCTCACGTCTCATTTATTTGGGCGTATTTCACCATCCCGTTTTTTTAATTTATTCAACCAAACTCCGATTAAGATTTGGGAGTAATGATTATGTAATATATGTACTAATCGCCCATTATGGAAGTATGTTTGTCTTCCTGGTGATATTTATGAATAATGACCCTTCACCTAACAACGTTATTTTGAAAACAACGTATACAGCGGTGTGGTTTTTTAAATGGGTAACACTTATGGAAATGTGTTTGCCCTTTTTCCCCTTATGACAATATTGTGAGAACCACATCTACAGCGGTGTCGATGTTTTAATATGTAATACTTTCACAATAAAGTTCGAACTTTTCTGTCGCTTTGCAAAATCAGAAATCCGCTTTATCCCTTAGGCTGGCTAAGTAATTGTATAGAATCATGACCTGGCAAATGATTGATGATACAATCTGAGTTCCTGAAAAATTCTATTAGTGCATTTACATGCAGGCTTCTGAATATACAAATGCTTGTATTGACGTGTGTGCAGGTGTCCATATCATTCAGTGTGAGAATCCAACCTACAATAATCAAAAGACTTCTCTCATAACATGTAGCAGTGTTTAGTGCTGAATGTATCAGAGATCAAAGTTCCAAGAATGCAATAAACTGTCGTAATCATGAAGATCAGTCATTGTTTTACACACGTAAATTTTATTTTATGCTATACGTGCAATAACATAGAATAATAAATAGCCTTGGCTTCCATCACAGTGATGGATGAACACAATATATATCACTGCACTGGATAACGGGCATAATGCCTATTTAAGATAAATCCATATTCTTCAATAAGCTTATTGCGTATTGCATATTTCAAACTTTATTTTATGCCCACTAGGATAATGAATAACATATCTTGTTCACCTTAACAGTTCTCATTGCGGAATGTTCAACGATTATTTTTCATGTACTGATTGATTTGGGAAAAGGGTATCGGTACACTTTAGTATAAATACATGTTCATAAGGTCACTCGCGTACCGAAAAATCAAATATACCTATGTGTGCTTCTGACATGTAATACCTGCCGATTGTCAACGTCTGGTTTAACCTACAAATGTATCATCATAAACTACTGCATACACTATATGTCCCGGTTCAAATTAATACTGTTTGACCTATTTACACATAAGATTTTAAGTGCAGATCCACTTGTCAAGTCATAAATGATGTTTCAGTCGATTCGTAATATCAGGTAAACAAGCTTTTCGTTATTGGGCACTAATGTCTTGAAAATGTCAAAAATAGCCAAATGCGCTTCTGACATGTAAATACCTTTCAATCCCTCTATCGCCGATTTCACTAGACTGCGTGGTGCAATCCTTTTAATCCATTTCATCTAATACTAACTCTGTCTTGAAAATATCGAAAATAGCCAAATGCGCTTCTGACATGTAAATACCTTTCAATCCCTCTATCGCCGATTTCACTAGACTGTGTGGAGCAATCTTTTTAATCCACTTCATCTAATACTAACTCTGTCCTCCCCCTAGTTGTTTTATCATGCTTTTTTTCTTTACGCATCCTTTGTTTTACGCCAGAACGCATCCGCACCATGCAATTCAATCAGGTTTTCTCTTCATCAGTGTCTTACATCAGGAAAGGTGTCAAAAACATTCTCATTGACAACTATGTGAGCAAATCTCTTTTAACTGTATCCAAACTCACCGTCAGTATCATTTCCATTGACAACATGAGAGACAATCCAATCAGGATTCATTTGTCTAAAATCCCCGTAATCACTTAAACCATAATCCCCTCAATTGTCCTCGCAAAATCAGCTTGTGATGCTTCTCGATGCCATGTAATCCGTTTTCAAGAACATTCCAGATCCACGCCAAGCGCCGTGGAAGTGATTGATCAGATAGTTTAGACAATCGTCAACACAAAAGTCTACTGGGACAATAGATGTGTTTAGATAGTTAACTGTGATTCTATAAGTCCTTTGATTGTAGCCATGCTTTTACAACAAGGGTGTGGGTATTTAAACCTCCAAACAGGAACGGCAGGTCATATACACCCCGATCCCACTGTAGTAACATCAAGGATAACCAGAAGATTCAGATTCAGACAACCCCAGCAGCCGAACTACACATATCGAGAGATGGATTCTTTGAAGGTGAGTGTTGTTTCGAACAAATCCATTATATCTTAAAAAAGAGGGTTCAATGCTTTTTAGGTTTTTTTTAAATTACAGAATCGAAAAAAGTACTTAAAAGCAGTAGTTTCACTGTGTCTTACTTGGTAAATATACTAGCATCTGCATTTAAGCATCACATTGAAAGAATAATAAAGACGATGAAATCCATGTTTTCAATGAGACAGCCTCTAAATATGTATAAAGATATTGCTTCCATACTCACAAAACGTTTATTTTTCATACTTCAGACAAACCAAGTGCCCATCCAGAAGCCTGTGAGATGTCTGTTCCCCCAAGAAGAAACATCTGTCCCTGTTACCAACACACAAGCCGTGCCAGCCCGTCCACAGACCACCCGTTTCAGCGTCACTGATATCATCAAGTTTTCCAAAACAGAAGACAGCCTGAGCTCGGATGACAGTGGAACAGACGCTCTCCACATCGCGCTAGATTCCTCAGCAGACGACACATCAGCAGGAAACAGTAGTAATAAAGTCGACATGTCAGCTTCTGACACCCGGCCAGCTTTGGCAAGACGGCCTCTCGTCCAACAGGAACACTCTTTTGCCCACTCAAGTCCATTGATCAGTGATTACCCCCGTCCGGCAATGTCTTTCTATCATGCCCTTCCACCAGCCGGTAGTTTCACCCCACTCCATACCCAGTTACCACCCATCATGTTCCCATCTACGTACCCAGGGTTCCTGCCGTATCAACCCCCGGTTTTCTCACACCTGCCATCCCACGCGATGACACTGCAGCATCAAAATGATACCAACAGGGTACTGTCAAACAGCGACGAAAGCGATGGTAAGTCATCAACAGTTGTCACATTAAGTTATGAAACAAATACTACAACATAATTGGTCGGTAAAATAGTATTATACTAATATAACTGCAACATGAGTATCATTCAATCATGCTGACTGTATAATGAATAACAAAAACGTCCTGGGGAATATGTCCAACAGATTCAACATAATCGATCTTATTCTTGAGGAAAATACAAAATGGTACTGGCTGAAATGCTAATTATTTGCTTGTATCTTTCAGATGAAGGCAATGACTCTAGAAGCTGTTCTCCACCAAGCATCAGGGACCAAACCAGTCCAGCCAACAGTCTCACCTCCAGTGGTGTGTACAGCAACGCGAGTCCAATCGCCAGTCCTGTCCCAAGTCCATCCGAGTCTTTCCATTCTGCACCATCTCCAGTCAAATCTCCGATGGCCAACAAGAGAGCCCGAGCACCTGGCGGCCGCACATGTTACGCCCCGAATCAGGTCCGAGCCATGGAGAAAGCCTTCATAGACAACAAATACCCAGACTACGATGTTCTAGAAAAGATGTCTGCTGAGCTGGAAATACCCGTCAAGAAGATAAAGGTAAATACAGTTTAAGTTCAAGTGCGATCCACAAATAGTACATTAATCGGTAAAATATGAAGTCGTTTGCAGCGTTTGTAGAAAATACTCATTTCTCCTGAGCATCAGTGAAAGTATTTCTCCTGAGCATCAGTGAAAGTATTTCTCCTAAGCATCAGTGAAAGTATTTCTCCTGAGCATCAGTGAAAGTATTTCTCCTGAGCATCAGTGAAAGTGAACACTAAATACAGTAAAACACCGTTATGTCGAAGTTAAAGATTCTACGTGAATACTTCGAGTTATCCGACAACCGAAACTAATGAAAAAAGGAGTATGCAGTGACCAAGCTTTTACTTAGAGACAAACAGTCCGCCACTGTGTTAATATAATATTTAACATATCATACGATTGTTTACCCTAAATAATCATCTTAAATCTCTCCTTGTGCTTCAGGTTTGGTTCCAGAACAAGAGGGCACGTAGCAAATCCCGTTATCCCGATATGTCCGCCCACACCATGGCTGCCTCGATGTCTGCTGTCGGATATGGCTATTTGCCCGGCGCCATGCCACTTCCGTTTACCGGCGGCCCTCGCATGATGCCTGTCTATCCGGGATACCCGTATCCTGGAATGTTCCCGTCGCCAATGTGCTGATTGATTGATGTTATTTGTGTACATATCATCGTTAAGTGCTACATGCAACGCTATGCAATTTGTATATATATAAAATATTTATTGTGTGACATATGATGAAATAAACGAATCAAATCTCATACTCTTATTATTATAATGTAGATTGTGCTCAAGGATCCTACAACGATGCTGTGTCGTAACAGCAATTGTTCGAAGCGATTGTAACGTTAACAATATGTGACACAAATTCACAAGGTTTGGTTTGTTTGACGCCAGTCAGCAATCTTCCAGCAATATGATTACGGTCTGTAGACAGTAAGAAGCAGCGTCTTACGTGTAAAACGTACTTCAGTAGAGGAGCCATTAGTGATGTCATTTGATTGTGACGTCACGGTAACAATGACGTCACAATGGTCTATAAAGCATTGCGATTCAATTCATTGCAGCAACCTACAATGTAGATATCGCTTGATCACACCCAAGCGATATCTCCTGTGTGAGCCAGTTAGTTCGTGTATATTCTGTTACTAAAGTTGTGAGCGAGATCCTTTTTCAAAGATTGTACTACTTGTTTTGAGGCAGTGCGTGAGGCGGTATTCCGGACACGATGCGGCTATATTCATTTTTAGTGTACCTTCCTGGTTCGGCAGCCATTCTGAAACTGTGACATCAATATTCAGCAATTGCATATTTATATACACTGTTATGTCCCAAGAAAGATATCTTTCAACATATCTTTCTAAAATGACCATGATTGTTACCTTTCAAATCAGCCATTCAGTACCAATCGTAACCCACGCAGTCAAAAATGTTGTTTAATGACAGAAAGAAATACTTTCACACGACTAATTCATAACACCCAAAACAACATCGGAATAACCAGCTTCGTCTAGCGTCTTAAGCATGATATAACTATTTACACTTTCACTGCAAAGGATCATGCTTCATTTACCTGATTTTATAAACCCCCGGTGACGTCATCCTATTGTTCTCCAGTCGGGTTAAATCTCATAAACAGGGACGTTGTAATGTTTTTATATAATATCCCCGGGATTTTAGAGGATATTCAAGTCATATTTGCTATATAATGTGTTATAATATCCCAGGGATTTTATATAATTTCCTGGGTATTTTATTAATATAACTTTCGTTCAGATTGTAACATGTAATGAAATGTAAAATCAAAAGACAAATGTTTTCTTTATATTGCCGAGGATCGAACTCGCAACCTTTCTTATCTGTAGCCCAGTGAGTGTATCACAATGCTACAGAGGTGTTGTTACGCCGCACTGCCTTTTAGAATGTCCTTTTCAAGATCCGTACGCCAGCAACACATATTTTACGCCCGTTTCCTAAGGTTCATGGAAAGTATGTTCGAAACATAAAAATGTTTATAAATGTTGTTTTAAGGTTCAAAATCGGTTTATAAGTAAGATAAAACACTTCCCCTCGGGCTGTTATGATATTTAAAACCCCTTCCCTCGGGATGCGGGTTTATATCATAACAACCCTCGGACGTGTTTTATCCTATACAAGGGGCGGTCAGGTAGCCTAGTGGTTAAAGCGTTCGCTCGTCACGCCGAAAACCCGGGTTCGATTCCCGACATAGGTACAATGTGTGAAGCCCATTTCTGGTGTCCCCCGCCTTGATATTGCTGGGATATTGCTAAAAGCATCACTCAGTCAGTTATCCTATAAATAACACAGTACCCAAAGCTATATCCACCAATATGATGACCGACCGCCACAGGAAGCCAATAAGACAGGGAGCCAATTTAACAGGGCTAAATATACATACATTGTAAGTGTGGTGCTTACAGCTTAATACGTTCATAGTAACCTTAATTGCAGTTGATTTATGGCTTGTGGTGGATAATTTGGTCTGCTTCTGTCAGTTTTCTTTTTGTGAAAGTCATTGAGGATTTGGACGTTTTCTCAGTTGATGGTGTGATTGGTGCTTTTGCTGATATGGTCCGAGATGGCTGATTTACTGTCTGATTTGATGGTTGAAGTTTTGTGCTCTTTGATTCTGGTGTTGATGGGGCGGAATGTTTCACCTACGTAGGATTGTCCACAGTATATACTTGAGTATAAGCATGCTGCCGTATGTATAAACATATATTTATGTAAAAAGATTACACTGTCATGTCATGTATGATAGAGTGGAGTGGAGTGGAGCGGTGCGGTGCGATGCGATGCGATGCGATGCGGTGCGGTGCGGTGCGGTGCGGTGCGATGCGGTGCGGTGCGGTGCGGTGCGGTGCGGTGCGGTGCGGTGTATGTGGCATGGGTGAATCGTATCAATCGGGAGAACCTTGTACATTTTATTCTAACACACATTATTGTTATTGTCAACATAAACATTTTATTTTTACTACGATGTAAATGTTTCAAAAGTGTCTCGGAAGTCAAATTGGCTGGGCGCTCATATCTTCTTCTTTTTAAACTAAGAAATGACTTGATTTACACGTATGTAGCATGTGACCTTATAGTAAACTATCGGTCAATCTTTGAAATCGGAATAATTGTTGCATCCTTTTCGCTATTGCGAAAACTGCTATGCTGATTTAAGGGTCAGTGGCTATTGGGTGTGTGATCCATTTATATACGTTGTCGCACGGGGCCACATTGGTCGGCTTCAACTTTCCAGTATCAAGTGTTCGCGAATTATCTGCACAAATAGTAATGTGATGCTAAGTGTGATTACCACAGTCATGACTTGTAACGTTTCATACATATATACCTTATGTATACCACACGCACCTTCACTGTTGTCCACTTGCGGTGGCACTGTAATGGCGTGTAGCATAGGAAAAACTTTGGCATCATGTGGTATAGGATGAGCTGTGGCGGTCTGTGGCCTGCAAGGGGTCTGTTAGAAAGCTGGTGATGGATATGAGAGGAACCTTGGAAAGACAAAGGGGTTCATCCCAGGTGCATGTCGGAGATACACTGGGTTGTAGACAGACAGGGACATCGTGCCAGTATAAGATGCCAGTCAGGGACTAAAATACTCGCTATCCTATCTATCCTATCAACCATCGAGATTGGCACTGTAGGTACATGGTTTATGCTGCACTCGCTCTTGTCTGCCGTGAATTCGCAGTGTCCCGTGGTTCTCTGTTTCATTAAAAGCAGTATGGAGTGCGCCTGTACTGCTGTCATATGAGCTGATACTGTCGTCGTCGTTCTTGAAGATGTCGGCGACGGCTACGTCTCCCTCTTGATGGAGTATTGGGTATGCCCAGGTGCTGAGACTTCACCAGGAATCAGACATCTCGACGAATTGGTGACAGGTGTGTGTGAGAACTTAAATAGGAAAACGTGGTGAGCTACATGTTATATGATCCTAAATGACAATTGTATTTAAACATTACTTATTCTATGCTACTCAGTAAATACAAGATGTGTCATTACTAAAACTAATATAAAAATCATCTAATTATATAGTGCCGAATTCCAGCTAGGCTCCACGGGCGCCTTAAACTATCATTACCCCGGTCAAAGGATGAGTGTTCACTCGATTTTCTTTACATCCGACAATAAGGTAACAATGTAAAAGCGACTTCGGTTACAAAACGTTGCAACACTTCTGTCACTCATGCTCGTTGTGATCTACATGTGGCGTAGCCACTCGTGAAAATATCGCCTTTATCCCAGTAACGAGCTTTGCGAAACGAACAGTCTCAATGTCGAGTTAAATGAGAAATTTACGAGAGAATAATAAACGTCAAGAAGTGATATTAACTCAATAAATGATCGTCTGTCATTATTTTGCCTTGTCAATGTGGAACTAACGTTAAAAGGACGTCAACAGTTTGTGAACGGGCTTGACATTGACCATAAAGGGTGACACTGTTTAAGGGGAGGCGTCTCTTGCATGACAATAGCTCCGTCAAAGTGTCATGTTCACTGTGAAATATCAAGTGTTGTGTTCACTGCAGTGAAAATATCAATTTTCTCAACTTCAGATAACTCCGTCTTTCACACTGAAGTATATAATAAATATAGAATACTAAACGAGTTCCCGTGTAATACCAATTAAGCGAAAGCTCGTCAGATACCACAACTATTCACGAGTTTCATAAAATTGGTTTTACACGGAAGCGAGTTTAGTATTTTATTTATTACATGCCATTTATAACGTTTTTAGAATTATACTGTTGAGTGTGAATAGGCTGACACCTACACGATCCACGGCATAATCCAATTGAGTTTAATAGAATAATACTTCAAACACGTCAAAAGTTGAAACGTATAAATTTAATACCATACAACGGTCCACCTTTAGAATTCAGGCGTCCGTTCCACAAAATTATCGTAGCGCTGAGGTTATTCTTCCCCGTCGACATGTTGGTTTATTTGAAATTCCAAGCCACGCATTTACGGAAACAAAACCTACAAATCATGTGCGTGGAATGTTGATGCTATTCTTTTCCAGCATTAAGAGATACTTCAAAATCGTCTTTATGTAGTTAATTGATGCATCTGACCGTTTCTGGTCATTAGCTGACATTATTAAACCATTCATGTGAAATCCGATGTCCTCTTTTCCTCAAGGACTCATTTTCTTATTTTCACGGTGTGTAGAAAAGAAGAACTGTACTCCGGAGATCGTAAAAAAACAGCATAATATAAAATATGTTCTGAATATGCTTATTCATGAACAACGACGACATCTCAATTTAAATGATAATGGCTGAATTCCACATTCTACATACATGTACCACACTTTTGATTGCTTGGATGCTCATGTTCACTCGAAATATTTGGAATAGTTATGTTCCGTATTTTGAATTAACCCAGTTCCCCGTGTGTGTTTTTTTTATCAGTGCACCGCACATAGCCACATGCGAAACGTTTGGTAGCAAAGTCAAAGCAAAATAGGAGTAGTGTGTCGGCGAATTTGCATCAAGGCTGTAGTATTTTTCAACCGTTTAATGAAATTCAATGTACAGCCGTAGCTGTGGTCACTCAAATATTTTGTGTCCCATGACTCAAATCTATTTGCGTTTGTACCG